GTTAATCCCCATAAGATTCAGGTCAACTGTGAGAGAAAATAAGTGGAATAGAAATGAAAAATCTTGCTAGCTCATTCTGATAATTCTGCATGATACCAGGTTAAAGGACATCAAAATCAACTCTGAACAGTCTTAGATACACACAACTTTGGTAATTGTATTTAATTATGACCCCAAGATTGCGTACCACTTCCAGTGCAAGAATTCCATGTCTACAGTGAATGACTTCTGCTGCATATTCTCTACCATTCAGCATGTAAACAGAAAGAGAGTTACTTTATTTCTAATCTTTCATGTCTAACTTAATGTTCTGAACTTTTACAGACAGTTGCAACTTTTGCTGCTCAATATCTTTCAGAACTGAAAATAAATTAGCCCGGTATGCTTCACATTTCCGTTGAGCACGCTTAAGCTGCCGTGTGAGTTTCTGTATCTTCTTGTCCTGCTCATCCTAAACCAAAAAGGTAAATTTTTGATGAAATTAGTCCAGAATTTTAAAAAAAAAAAAAAAAGAGACAAGTTTCTCCACTTTTCCTATGATCAGATAAGTTTCTCCGTTTTTCTCTTTCTCTCTGCTAATTCGCACATTAAATTATCAAGCATGACATTTTCTCAACATGACTGGCACATAAACTATTGTATTTACTGCAGGCATTTAAAAAGGAAAAAAGAAAACGAAAAAGATTACACGAATATTCTCCAATAAATGATCAGCCACACTAATTTACTATTTCACCTTGTATGTGTACAAAAAGATTCTCATAAAAGAGCATGGTATTTTAGAAGGCTGTATAGCAAACTGACCACTAATCAAATAAAAGGCTGTATGTAGACCGACTCAATGGGGCATGCAGGAAAGAAAAAAAAAAGGAAAGAGTTTTTATGGAAAAACTGTTGTAGACCGACTCAAAGAGGCTGTATTGTGTCTTCTTAACGATTCATGACAACAGGAGCACCAATGTGCTGTATGGAAAAACTGCCAACAATCTGAAATGCTTCCTCAATATAGGAGTCATTCCTCTATGGGAAATACAAGACATGCAAGGGAACACTAAATTAAATAAAAAATTAATAGCAAGAATAAGACATGCAACTGAAAACCTTTTCCATGAAAAGTTTCATCAGAATGAAAAGAATAAAAAAACTCACCGAATCCAATGGATGAACACCATCAATGTTACTTTCATCATGTTCAAGTGTAGAATGATCCTGCTTGCGGGTTCTATTGGAATCTGAACTTGTTCTTGCCGTCTTTCTAGCCATGGAAACTTTATTTGCAGCCTCTCGCAAGGCATCCATTGCCGCATTATAAGTTTCCTCAGTCTGCATACCTTCATCCACATATTTGAAAACCTCATGACGAAGTTTGTTATATCTGGCAGTAAGAGATTCTCGAGAGCCATTTGACAGATCATTGGTTGCGTCCTCCAACATTAGACTGCTTCTCGCACTTTTTGTCCATCTTCTTAAAACATAAAGAGGTGGAAGAGTCAGAACATTTGCAACCCTAAAGAATGTTAATATATGTCTGCAAAGTAGACCAGAGAACTCAAACATCTGACAGCTACAGGTTGCTTTCGTTTCTCTGACACTATATCTGACGAAGTGAACTTTATGACTTTCCCCAAATTTGGCAACTTGATACGTGGTGGCTTCCTCCTGATCCTCAATTTTTGTAGCCAAGAAGGTAAGTGTTTCTACCAATTCTTCTTGAAACTTAATAAATAGTTTCCTAGTATAAATATCAGCTGCTTGTTTCTCCATTGGTGATGGCGTCTTTAGAATGGGTGCAGCGTTCATGGTATCATAATCCGCTTTAACCTCTTTCTCGTGGCGACTCTCCAGAGCCTTCTCATACTGTTTTATAAATAATTGAACTGTTGTTGAAGCATTTACATATCCGTCAAAGTAGGAGTTCATGCTGTCACTGCGCTGTGTAATAGACAGTTCAGCAAAAAAAGTATCCCTCAAGTACACAGGAACCCACTGCTTGCGATCAGCATAAACATTTTGAAGCCATTCATTTTCCCGAAGAGCATATCCATCAATAAGGTTACACCAACAAGATTCAAATTCTTCAATAGAATCAGTAAAGTTGACACATTTATGAAGCTCTGCCTCAAAAGTTGGATGTTCAGAAAGCATGGGAGATAACTTTTCCTGACATTCCTTGAAAATGTGCCACTTGCAGAATCTGTGACGTACCTCAGGAAAAACTTGGGTGACAGCTGAACGAATCACTCGATCATGATGAGTCGTGATTGAGATGGGCAGCTTACCAGACATTGCAGCGAGCCAAGTTTTAAACAACCAAACAAATGATGCCTCAGACTCATTTATGAGAAGGGCACATCCAAACAAAACAGGCTGTCCATGATGATTCACCCCTGTAAATGGGGCAAAAGGCAACCTATACCTGTTGGACCTATAAGTTGAATCAAATGTAACAGTATCCCCAAAATAAGTATAATTACACAGAGCCTTAGGATCAGCCCAAAAGATATTGCTCATGCACTGATCCTCATCTCCCTGCACTGCATAAAAAAAAGCAGGATTCTCCAAGTGCTTCAGTTTAAAATAATCCAAGAGAACCTGAGTATCACCCCCAAGAGTCCTCTGTTTACTACTTCTCATATAATTCCTACAATCACGCTCCGTAAACCCAACATTACTAATTCCTCCATACTCCTTTATCAAAGCTGACATTATCCCACTGGGGCCAATACCAGCCCCTTGCAAGGTATCGATCAATGACTTGGCAGCCCCAGAAACATGCCTGTGTGAACGTAGACAATGCACCTTATCAGGCGGAACAAGCTCATGGTTATGCCCTTTCACAAAACTAGACACGACCCAACTTCCCGAATCTTGAATCTTAACCACCAACATCGCCTTACACCCTACCCTAGTCTCAGCCCGAGGCCGCTTAGCCCTACCACCGTTACACCCAGACTTCTCCTTCTCTATACGAAACCCTTCTTTCGCACAAACAAACGACCTTTGTATAATAGCACCATCACGCCTAGACTTCCTGGACATACTTACACGAGTACTAAAACCTATCCTACGTGCATACGAATTATAAAACGCTTTTGCAGCTTCCTCAGACTCAAATTCCATTCCCTCATAGGGTTCAAGATTCGTATCTCCACCAAGAACACAAATTTCTCCAGAATTACCGCCATTGCCACTGAAATTCACCCCATCACTACTACTATGAAAAGGGTTCACAAAGTTTCTATCTTTATCCTCATCCTCATCCTCATCCTCATCCATTGGATGCGCAATATCAATGGTTTCTTCTCCCAAACCAATTCCGATACCCAGTCCCAACATGTCAAATTCAGTTACATCATTGCCCACTGTTAGTGGTTCAAAATCCATGGTTTTCTCGTAGCAAATAATTATTCTACAGGTACATAAATCAAACAAATAATTTTCATATTCTTCAAATAAAGCTGCATACATGGAACAGAAACGAAATTCAAGATGGCACGAAGGAGTAGTAGGGCATAGTGATTAGTGAGAGACTAACCGTCAATTTTGCTGTGAATGGGCAGTTGAGCTGAAATGACGTTCAAGATAATTTGGCGAACTTTGAGATGATTAGGGGTTCTGTGGAAAATGATAGCTTGTTCAGGGAAGTTTGAAGTTGCAGTTAGCGTTCAGAGGAAGAAGAGAGCTTTGTTTTGTTTTGTTTTTCCTTTTTTTCATCTTTTTTTTTTTGAGATAAAGTTTTCATTTTACTAAAAGAATTATAATGAGGACGAAAGAGAACCGTGGATCTCTTTCTTTGTGGAAAGGAGGGCCGTTAGATTTCAACACAATTCTTTTTTATTTTATTTTATTGAAGAAGAAGATTTCAACACAAAATTAGATGATCAAAAGAGAGATATTTGAAAATTATCTAGTTGTGTACAAAATTCTAATTAGATGATCAAAAGAGAGAGATTTGACATTTATCCGGTTGTGTACAAAATTGTTTTTATTTTTAATCTATGAAATACTAATCCAACAATTCTTTTTCTGTACCTCTTTTTTCTCCAACTTCTATTTACTTCTTTTCTTTTTCTCAAAAGGTCTTTCTCTATCCGATAGATTTTTTTTTAATTAAGTCTCTGCTAACGAGCTGCAGCGATTTATCTTATAAAAAAATAATTAATTTTTTTTTTATATTTTCTATATTTATTCAAAAATTTTCAAATCAATTGTATCTGTTATATTAATTGCAGATATGTTATTTCTAATGCATATTTAACCCGCCATTAGGACATAGATGCAAATCAAACTAGTGCATGTTTGGCATGTCATTATGTTATGATATGATAGTGATGTAAATCCAACTAGTGCATGTTTATCATATTATTATGATAGTGATGTAAATCCTATCATAGTTCATTAATAAAATTTGCTCTTTATAAAAAAAATACTGATCCAAAATTAAAATGTGCATATAAATTATTTAACTTCTTCCGTTTTTAATTTGCTCTTACCACATTGTGGAATACTAATGATGAAATCAATTAGTTAATCCCAATCTGCTAGGCCTAATTTTAGCCCACAACAGGTTGAGATTCCAACTCATACCAGCCAATTAAGCATTCTTGTTAACCATAAGGTGTGACTGGCTTCAATTTTTCTTTTATCAATCTCATTGGTAAGCCATATGTGGATTTCTCCTGTTAGCTTTGGAGTGAATCAACGTCCCCTTGCCAGAAGAAGCAAAAGAAAAAAGGGAAAAGAAGTCCAATATCCATGTCAAACATTAAAATTGGGATAGATCTGATACAGAGAGCGGACAAAGCCATCCACAATGAGCTTGTGCAACAAACGAATTTGATATTTTGATAGTATTTGTTAATTTGGTTCGGTCTTATATTAGCTCATGCAGCCAATTCTAGTCGACTACATCTTGCAATATCATTGGCAACTGCAAAATCAAGAAACTAGGCTACGAGCCACATGAAAAAGGTTGACCAAAGTGTTAGAGTAACTGAAGAAACGGAGTATGTCCAGAGCAAAATTACAGCACATTCTGACTGCCCTGATCCAAATATTTGTGTAATTGTGCCTGCCAAGTGAGAAATATGAACTGTACATTGGTGAATTTGTTAGAAGGGCTTTACACCTTTTTTTTTTTGCCCTGTCTGAGATACAAACTAGGAAATGCATGTAAGGGTACAAGGAACTAAAATGCATGAGATTTGAATCGCAGCTGGACAATGTTGTCAGCAGCAAAAACGTCGAAACTTGTCTAAACAAATTTGATTATGTCAGAAATAATTAATATAGAATGGAGATTTTTTTTTCCTTAAAATATCAAACAAGGGAATAAAATGCCTATATAATGAGTTTAAGGGTGATAAAGCGCAACTGAGGATAAAGATTTAACGGATTTAGCAGCGCGTTTAACCTCAAAAAGTATTTATCACCACTCCAATTTCAATTTGCAAGCCACAAAACCTAAAGACCAGTGCACATGATTTGTTTTGATCTTTTCTTTTGGTTGTGGGCGGGGTGGAGAAAAATGAATGTACCTATATTGATAGCGGGTGGAAGAGCATACTGTAGTAGAAGAATAAACTGATACAATGGATCTGCATGCACGAAGCCCAGATGAATTGCCCCTTTAATAACCAAAACTCCGATCAGAGGCAGGACAACAGATCGAACAGCAATGATCCCAAGAATGAGGGAAAGCTGGACGCCTGGTCCTCTTAGACCTAAAAGGTGAAATTTGCAATGTTGGATGGAATTGGCATTTGTAACATAGGTAAAGTCAAGTCATATAGCTCCAAGACAGTAAAAAGAAAAAGGATTTAACGTATGGTACTGGTACCTTTAAGGAGGTTTCCCCCCACTGTCAGTATGATGATGGGAACTGCTGCTTCTCTGCAACTGAATTTTAGGATTGATAAAGGAAAATGAGAAATTATAGGGTAAGACAACCTGAATGAATCACTGGTAAAATTAACTAGAGACAGAAAAGTTCAGAGTATCAGATACTGTCCCACATATGATATGCTCAATCAGTCTAGGAATCTTGGTCGGATAATACCTATAATTATCACGACAAAGTTCCTTAGACAATTCAAGCAGGTTTGCATCTTTTCTTCTTCTGTACTAACCGTTTGGTGATGAAATTTCAGAATTATGAAAGGGTTTTGGAATAAGAATTCCAAAGTAAACAGCATTAGAAGGTTACCAATCAAGGATTTTTACCCCAGCAATAAAGCAGAATCCTGGATTACATGAAGTGGAGCGTCGGCGCCAACGAGTAACTTTTGTACTGGGGGCACTAATCCGATGATGAAGCCAACAATCTGCAGAGATCAATAACTAAATGAGAGAGTACTTTAGTAGTGATGTCCTGGTAAATTGATTTTGCAGTCGTCGTGTTTCCAATCCCAACCATAACATGCAAGACTGATACGGTTCACCAGACTTTACACTACTGCCTTATTGGTCAACAACGAACATACATGAAGTCTTTAACAGGAAGGATATTTTCTTATGGCCTTGCTTTAAAGGTTCAAGTTCTTGAAAGAGTGGATTTCTTTAAAGATGTGCTTGACTTCCTAACAATAATGGTTATCAACGTGTCACTGGCTAGTACTGGCTAACAGTCTTTCAGGTTGATACTGATAGAAATGCTAACCCCTTTTGGGCATGATAGTTCCGTCTGGAACAATTTCTGCTCATCATTTTGCCGCTCCATTCTCTTGTAAAAACTTTGATAAAAAAAATCTCTTGTAAAAATGACACACACACACGACAGGATTACAAAACACATTATTCTGCACTTGACGCTGCTACTCCTTAGGACTATCAAATTATATATATGCGTTAATTTGCCATTGATTCAACAAAGAATTGCCAGGCCCTTGAAAAGTGTACCGCTGCAGTCGTTGAAGGTGCAATAATGGCCTTCAGATTACTGCTTCTGAAAAACGAATATAATTGCTTCTTAATTGTGTCCAGGATCAAAACCTGCAACGGAATCTTGAAAGGCGTCAAATTACAAGGTTCTTAATTCTTATGGAATCACAAAAACACGTATCTAAGAATATAATCCACGATGAAATGCCACAGATTGGGTGACCTTTCCTTGCTTGTCAGTTTTAGCGCATGGTAGCGAAGATTCATTTGCATGGTCCGTAGCAGATGTGCATTCTGAGTCAAACTCAGAGTTTATCTGCTCTTGAAGGGCCTTTGAGGTTTCTTCATCAAAATTTGCATTGTTCACATTTATAACTTCATTGATCATAGTTGATGATACGCGAACAGTGTTGTAAACAATAGACCACAGATAAATGGCTCCTATCTGAGACATAATCACAGAAAATGATACAACCATGAATTTGTTTTATTGACAATGCCACCAACTAATTAATGAAGTCGAGACTTATCAGGCTCTCTAAATTAAGTAAAGCAGGAGATAGATTATTCTAACCAAAATGTATCTACTGATCATTTCATTTTGGGTAAATTACATATTACCCCCCTATAGTTTACTATTTTTTGTATATAACCCTCCTATGGTTTCAAAAGCTATACATAACTCCCTCATCGTTTGGATTAAAGTGTCAAAGTGACGGAAATGATCATTCGTAACGGAACTTTTAAAAACATCGAAATTACTCTTGTTTAAAAATTAAAATGACTGAAATGACCAAAATATATAAACATAATATACATGACGCATTAACCCCGGATGATTTTATGCTTTACCATAAAATCCCCTTATGATTTAATACTTTACTGCATACCCTCCTTATAGTTTTCAAAATATACACGTGATCCCATCCGGTTAGTAAATAATTTTTAATTTTATATAGGGGTATTTTTGATATTTTAGGGTACTTCATTATGGATTGCAAATTCCGTTACTTTTACACTTTAATTCAAGGGTTAATCACATTTTATCCCCTTAAAGAATACCTCATTTCTTAGTTTACCCCCTAACCTTTAATTTTGATCACTTAATCCCCTTTAGGACAAAATTGCCCTTGCATTATTTTGACTTTTCATTTACCTTGTTTTCCTTTCTTTTATTTCTTTTTCTCTTTCTTCTTTATTTAATTCTTCCTCTTTCCCCAAAAATCTTCACCTTAATGATTGAAATTAAAAAAGAGGAATTGCAGAGATCTATCTTCTCCTTAAATGATTAAAAAAAATATTCAAATCACTTCCCTAAAATACAATTTTTTTAGCCTTTCAATTCTTTTAATTTTGGATTTTCCTCTTTCCTCTTTCCTCTTTCCTTTCAATACTTTTACACTTTTCATAACCTTCTCATGGTATTTTTATTCCCATTTTCATCTTATGTATAGCTTTTGAAATTATAGGTTTAAAAATACTAAGCCATAGGGAGATAAAGTGTAATTTGTCCTATCAATTTTGTACTTGTTTAAAGTAACAAAGGCAGACCAAAATCTGGGCCACGTACCGCCATAGAAAGAGAAACATAAGCCATCGCATACTTATGGCAGCTATCTGGTGCTCCAAATGGACTACCCTTTTCACGGCATATTGCTGGGACGAGAACAAAAGGCAGACTCCCCAAGTTTCCTAGCCATAATACAAACCTCTTAGCTTTTTTTTTTTTTGGCAGTATCAAAATAAGTAGTTTCATATAGGCATAATCTTATTTCTTTATTAACTACCTGTTTTGCAAGTAGATTCCAACTCATCTATGACTTCTCTCTAGCTAGTACCTTGTTGATTTTAAACCACATTTTCTGCTTTCAAAATTGAATTTATATTTTCTTTTTACGGGATATGCCGAACCATCTGGGAAGCAATGAGGTATGAGGAACTACTGAATTTCACTATCTTCTTTGCTTACAATTTGCTCTCTATGGTTTATGCCAAGACTCTTCACCTGCATGCTTTTGTCAAGTCTAGCAGGTCTTTTTAATTGTACCTGGCAGATGTGCAGGAACCCAGAAAACACTAACCTGCTGCACATAAACCCATTACAAGGCCTTTCAAATGTTGAGGAGATTTAGTGATTTTGTTAATTTCCCATCCAAGAAATGAGCCAACAATGTAAGTCAGCAAGATGTTCAGCGGCATGAACCACCTAAATATATGTATCTAATGTTAAAATCTAGACTAAGTTGAAAGGCACTGAATATCAGAATTAAACAAAACAAAATTTCCTTTAAACTCCATCATATATTACCATCAAAGAGCAAAATCTAACTTAATGCTGAAATGAGTGATCCGAATTGTACTCACAACGATATGATGTTCTCCGAGGTAATTGTTTGAGCCAGATTGCTAGAGACAAGCGCTGGGTTGAATACAAAAAACACCATCTATTTATTTTTACAATATGGGAATTGTGTTAAATTGGAAAATGATACTGATCTAATATTCAAGAAGGAAGAAGGAAGTAAAGGTTGAGGTTTACATTATTCAGCTCCTTCCTGGCACTGTCTCCCAAGATGTCTATATGATCCAAAGCAAGAAATGAGCCAAGTGCACAAATCAAGAGCACCTTCACAACAGGTATGGAAGCAACCAAGGATAAATCTAGCAGCCCCATTATGAAAGCTGCTAGAAAACTTCAAACTCCTTGAGCAAAAGAGTACACAGGGGAAAAATAGGAAATAGCATCTATTTAATTCCTCGACAGAATTTCTTCAGTCCTATTAATTGTTTTCCAAGAAATTAAATGCTGCTTTGCCTGCAGGATAAGTAAATCCCCTATTTCGTACTGTAAAATCAAGATATCCATAAATTTTGGTGGGCATTAACGGCTGCTTGACATGTTGAACTAAATCTCACACAATCTAAAGCATCACAATTAACGTTAGCTAGCTAAAAACTTCAGCTTATCAATATCGTTACGGAAGAATCCTGATAATGCACCATGATCTACCTTTTCCTCAAATTGAAGATATCATTTGGTAGATGATCATTAGTTTGTGCTAAAAGTTGACTGCATGCCAGCAGCCTAGAATAAAGAAAACAGGTAGACAAAAAATAGTGGCATAAGCAAATTTGTAGCCAACTGGGCTTGTTGCTTGCTGCAAACGTTACACAAGCAACAGAGAGATATCCGATACTTATGGAAAGCCAGATACAATTGTTCATCCCTTCTCTAACTTGAAGTGGAGCACTGTAAAGATTAACTTATTATAATAACTTGAAGCAATCCGACGTATCAAAAACTCATGAACAGAGTTCTGTAATACTGTAAAGTTAAAAAAAAAAGGCAGATTTTTGAAAGAAGAACAAGAGAAAGCAACTTATCTAGCTGCTCAAGTTGTTCCTATTTGGCTTGTTTATTTTCTGTAAGATTTGATTAGTCACTGAAATTTTGCTCCCAACAGATGTTTACGGCAAAAACACCAGAACCAATATATAGATATATAAACCAAGAATCTATTCCCAAAGAAAAGAAAAGCTTAGATAGCATTAGCAAGGTAACAAGTACGGAATATGGATTACCAGCATGCAACAGCATCCAAATGGGAATGAGCATGACATTGCTGCTGATACAGCGGCCACGCATCCAAATTGGAACCGAGCAACTCGTTTATTGGGCGTCAGTGCTTAAAACTTTTGGAGTGCTCAATTGTTCAACCTCCAAAACGGCGATATTTAGGGTTTCCTTTTTGAACGCTGAATTCGAAAAGTAGGATAATTAAAAGGGAAAGAGAGTGCAAAAGCCACAAGGTTTTCAGGTACATCCGCACAGCTACTTAGTTGGACAGTTGGGCTATTTTGATCTTTGTATCAATGGAAAAGAACCCTCTTCATGACACCTTCTGCTGTTGGAGGAAAATTTTGAAATTGGAAGCTATTTCACAATGTTGAATCGACAGTGAGCTTATGCAATGATAGCTGGTACTATTTTATATTGTTCGCTCTTACATTAGCTGAAGCAACGAGAACAACATGAATACATGTTGCAAAACTGGCAGCTGCTACGGCAAAATCAAGATTTGGCTACTAGCCACATGAAATAGGTTGACCAAAGTGTTAGAGAAACTGATGCAACTGAGTATGTCCACAGCAGAATTACAGAACATTCAGACTGGCCTGACCCAAATAATTGTGTAATTGTACCTGCCGAATGAGAAAATTGATATCCCCATTTACATGGATGAATCTGTTAGAAGGGCTTTCCAAATTTTTCCTGTCTGAGAATACAAACTAGCAAATGTACATAAGAAATGTCGAATAGTTGAACAGGATATAGTGTGTAGAATAGATATGGTCGTGCAAGGAACTGAAAAGCTCGAGAAGTTGGACTGCAGCAGGGTAATGTTGTCAGTAATGAAAACTTTACTTCCAGTGACAAAAATGTCAAAAGTATTTATCACCATTTGAAATTCAATGTTCAAAAAAACAGAGACTTAAAAGCACGTAATTGCTGGGGTAGAGAAAAGGAATGTACCTATATTCATGGCAGGGGGAAGAGCATACTGTAGTAGTAGAACAAACTGATATAAGGGATCTGCATGCACGAAGCCGAGATGAATTGCCCCTCTAATAACCAAGACTCCAATCAGAGGCAGGAAAACATATCGAATAGCAATGATCCCGAGAATGACAGTAAGCTGGACTCCTGATCCTCTTAGACCTAAAAGGTAAAATATGCAAGTTGGATTAAAAGGTACTCACAACACAGGTAAACTCCAATAGCTCCAAAACATAAACAAAAAACAGAAGGATTTGACATTTGTAGTACTGGTACCTCTAAGGAGGTTTGCCCCAACTATCAGTGTGACTATGGGGATTGCTGCTTCCCTGCAATTGAATTAAAAGTCGACAAGGGAAAATGAGAAATTATAGCTCCAAGATAACCTGAATGAGTTACTACTAACATACATTAGAAGTGGAGAATTTCAAAATATTAGATACTGTTCCATGTGTGATGCCAAAGCAGTTCAGCAAACTTGTTTAGGTAATATCGAGTATGAGGACCAAGTACCCTTGATAATACAAGCAATTTAGATTCTTTTTTTTTTTTTTGGCTTCTGTACAGGCCACAGTGATGAAATTTCAGAATCATGAAAGAGTTGTAGAATAATTTGTGAAGATATTCCAATGTAAACTGCAAGAAAGTTTTCGGATGCGGGAGTTTTACCCAAGTAATAAAGCAGAATCCTGGACTACATGAAGCGGAGCGCTAGCACCAATCATCAACCTTTGTATGGGGGGCACTAATCCGACGATGAAGCCAACAATCTGCACTGATCAATAACTAAATGAGAAAATAATTCAGAACTAATAACCTGGTAATGCCTTGCCTTAGAAGGTTTATATTCTTGAAGGAGTGGTTTTCTTTCAAAATGTACTCAATTTCCTAATGAAGGATGGTTTTTGATGTGTGGCAGGCTACCGTCTAAGAGTCTTTGGGTTCATATGATAGAAACGCTAACCCCTTTGCGGCATTATATTTCTATCTGAAATAATTTCTGCTGATGTTTTTTCCCCTCTCTTCCCTAGTAAAAATATACCCAGGATTAGGATAACCCAATGTTTCATTTGAATTTGATGCTATTACTGAGGATTACAAACTATCTACTAGAATTTGATTCGATTCAATAAAGAATTGCCAGACACTTAAAGGTATACCGCTGCAGTCGTTGAAGGTGCAAGTATGGCCTTCAGATTAATGTTTCTGAAAAATGAATATATTTGCTTCTTAATTTTGTCCAAGATGAAAACCTGCAATGAATTCTTGACAGTCATCAAATTGAAAGGACCCTATAAAATTGACGAAAACACATATCTAATATTCTAATCCACACAAAAATGCCATGGATTGGCTGACCTTTCCTTGCTCATCAGTTTTAGCACATGATAGCAAAGATACATTTGCATCGTCCATAGCAGATGTGCCTTCTAAATCAAGCTCATCAATTAACTGCTCTTGAAGGGATTTTGAGGTTTCTTCATCAGAACTTTCATTCTTCACATTTATAACTTCATAGCTCTTAGTTGATGACACGCGAACAATGTTATAAACAATAGACCACAGATAAATGGCTCCTATCTGAGACATGATAACAAGAAATCATAAGTCATGACATAAAAAATGGTCAACGAAACCTACTAACAAATGAAGTCACAAGACTCATCAGCTCTCTAAAATAAGTCAAAAAGGAGATGCATTATTTTGACCAAAATATTGGCACTGATCTTTTCGTTTGTAATCTTCGTTTACAGTAATAAAGGCAGAACAAGAAATATGATACATACCGCCATAGAAAGAGAAACATAAGCCATCCCATACATATGGCAGCTATCTGGTGCTCCAAATGGACTACCCTTTTCACGGCATATAGCTGGGACAAGAATCAAAGGCAAATTCCCCAAGTTTCCTAGTCATAATACAATTCCTGTTATCGCTTGATTTGTGGGTATTTTCCCAAAAGCGTGTTATGGCACTGCAACTATCTTTCTTGTAAAAGGAATGCAACAGGTAATCTATCCATTGCTAATAAAAGTGGCCAGTTTTCATACATTCCAATCTCACTAAATCCATAACTAACTGAAATTTTAAACAACATACATTCCTCATTTTGCAGACAAACTGCAATTCATATATGATTTCTCTCTGGCACCTTTCTCCTTTTAAACAGTGTCGCTGTTTTGAGGGGGGAAAATGATTATGTTTTAGGGAAGATATTTGATAGACAAAAAGTGCCACTTCACCCCCCCAATACACTTCACCTGCACGCTTTAGTTAAACCTATCAGGCCTTCTTAACTGTATCTAAGCAGATGTACAGGAAGTCATCAAGTTGCAGAAATGAGAAAACACTTAGCACTAACCTGCTGCACATGAACCTATTACAAGGCCTTTCAGATGCTGAGGAGCTTTAGTTATTTTGCCAAGTACCCATCCAAAAAATAAGCCAAGAATAAAAGTCAGCAAGATGTTGACCGGCATGAACCACCTAAATACATCCATCTAAAGTTAAATCTAGCCTAAAGCTGACAGGTTCTGAAAATCAGCACTAAACAAAACAAATCTCCTTTAAACCACATCACATTACGTTCAAAGAGCAAAATTAATTAAATTATGTTGAAATAAGTGATTTCAGAAGTACTCACAATGATACGATGTTCTCCAAGGTAATTGTTTGAGCCAGGTTGCTGGAGACAAGTGCTGGATTGAATACGAAAAATACAACCTGGTTACACAAATTAAACAACTCCGTTAAATTGGAAAAAGTTACTGATGATTGTTCAAGAAGAATGATAAAGCTAAAGTTGATGCTTACATTATTTATCTGCTTCCTTGCACTCTCTCCCAAGATGTCTATATGATCTAAAGCAAGAAAAGAGCCGAGTCCGCAAATTAAGAGTACTTTCATAACAGGCACAGAAGCAACCATGAATAAATCTAGCAACCCCATTATGATATACGAAAACTTCAAGTACTCCAAACTCCTACAGGAAAACAAAACAAAAAGGAGAAAGAGGAATTATTTCTAGTTAATTCCTCTACAAACTTCCTTCCTCAGCTGAACTCATTACGACTAAATAGTATATTATGGGACAATAAACGCTCCTTGGCCTGCTGGATAAGTAAATCCCATGTTTCCTCCTATCAAAGTCAAGACATCCATAACCTTTTGTAGGCATGATACAGGTAATGGCTGCTTGACAAGTTGGACTAAATCTTACATAATTTAAACCATCATAATGGTGCTTAAATCTCTAGCTTAATAAGTTCCCCCTAATAATGTTCCATGGTCTAACTTTTGCACAACATACGGATATCCTTTAGCAGAGGATCCTTAGTTTGTGTTGGAAAGTGAGTGCATGCCAGCAGCCAAATAATAATCAAGTATGTAAGAGAATTTGACACAAGCAAATTCAATTTCAACTTGGCTTGTTGGCGTCTGAAAACAATAAATAAGGAAAAAAAAACAGATACGTAAAGACACATGACACTTCCATTTGTCCCTTCTCCAACTTGGAGAACTACTTTTATAATTAACTTAATAAATAGAGTAGCGTCAAGCAATCCGATATATCAAACACTGATAAAACAGAGTACTATAATACTACTAAAACAAATATAAACGTCAGAGTTCTGAAAGAAGAGCAAGAAAATGCATTTTACCCAGCTGCCGAATAGTTCCTCTGTGGCTTGTTTATTTTGTGTAAGACTTGATTAGAACTCAAAGTTCTGCTACCAAGACTGATTTCAACAGAAACCCGGAAACCAAAATGCACTTGTTGGGATTAAGTAGCATGCAAGAAAAGGAAAAGGGATTCAGTAGCGTTAAAGGGAACCCCAAAAAAAAAACAGTGATTAAGTAGCATCAGTAAGGCAACATGTTTGGATTAGCAGCATCCAAAGGGGGAAAAAATTGCATGGCGCATATTCGCCTTTTCCACGGAATGGAGACAACTCGTTTATCACTTTATTTGATGGACTGCTTGATTCTTTAACGGCCACAAGTAGGAGAGAGTGTGGTTTACCAACGATAAATTCGAATATATAGAATAGTCAAAAAAAGGGGGACTGACGAAAGCTACAATTACGAGCTTTTCTGGTGGTATGGCCATACAGTTACGTCGCTGAGCAATTGGGCTATTCTGACCTGTTTTGTGGGCAATCCAAAGAAAAGAACCCACCAGCCCCATCCCCATTCGTGTCAGTCATATTTATTCATATTTCACATTATGGGGTATCTTGAATAGTTTTTGCCCATACTCGGCCATGGACTATGGAGGCCCCCCAGCCTGAAGTTTTCAGTTTCGCGTGTCTATGGCATGCTGCTTGTTGATCCAATTTTTTTGCATCCAAACCCATTTAAAGTGCAATTGCCATACATCTATCTCAATAGGTTAGATTGCCATAAGCTAATATTTCGTCTATCCCAAGTAATATGTTCCAGCCATCCGGAGTGTACCAGGATATCGATTTATGACAGGGGTACAATTATTGCATATTTCACGCAGCAATAATGTTTTAAGGGAAAATGACTTGTTTCATCCCTCACATTTCACAAAAATATTCTTTTCATCCCTCACTTTTAAAATGAAGCAAATTCATCCCTGACATTTAAAAATTAAAGCTATTACATTCCTGAACCTAATTTTCAATCTGAATCAAACCATCCAATAACCCAGTAATAAATTTCGAAAATAGAATTGATAGATTATTTGGTCAACTTCATCATATTCACATGACATTTATTAAACCAAAAAAATAAAAATTATAACATAAAAGGTCATTCTTTGTCTTGGAATAGTAGAGTTTTTTTTTTTGGTAAATCTTTTCATGCACTGTTAGTATATCTGCTTGCGAATCTAGATGTGTATCATAAATATAAAATTTGGTGTTTAAATTTAAATTAAAATGATATGGCGGTACATAAAACCGTCAGTGTATACAATGATAATGTAGGAAAGATTAATCTTTCTTTTTTATATTATAATTTTTTCTTTTTTCTTTTTAGGTTCATTAAATTTCACATGAATATCAAATTGAGTTAACCAAGTGATCTACCAATTACATTCCCGAAATTTGTAATCAGGTTGATTGGTGGTTTGATTCAGATTAAAATTTGGGTTCAGGGATGTAATAATTTCAGTTTTTAAATGTCAAGGACGAAATTGATTCATTTGTTTGTGCCAAAGGGAAAAAAAAAACTGAGGCATCCTTCTCCATTTTTTTATAATTATATCTCTAAAGCGAAGTCTACTACAAGTAGTCTGATTTTTTCCTTTCAAATTAATCTTATATACATTAATAGTGTAAATATTATTACAATTGAATGTATGATATATAGATATATGTACTTACATTTATAAAATTTAGATTTCAAATTCAAATAGTGATAATGTACATACTATTGTCCAATAATAGATTTTTAGTGTAAGGATAAAAACTTTCGTAAAAACGCAATTCTTGAAAGATGTACACATTTTATCATACTTTAAACTATTGTTAGACAAATCTTAAATTTTAACTATATTGGTACAATTTTTTTTTACTTTTTTTTAATTCACCTTCTCTTTTAATTTCTTTCAATAATATCAGCAACGTGCGTAGCACGGGTATTCACACTAGTTTCTACTGTATTTACAAGCGAATTTTAATCTGTCACATGATGCATTGCATATTTTTTAAATTCATTGGCAATGTTAAGACAGGTTTCCTTCTGCATTGATGTGGAATTTAAACAGCTATTGTGTCAAGGAAAAGATATATGCGTTGTTAGAATGGACAACTGAGAACTCAAAACCTTAAAAATAGCAGTTCAATTGGTTTTTTTTTTTTTTTTTTTGGTTAAAGTATCAATTTTCACCCAGAATTAATGTAAACAGAGATAGTCTTTTCTCGTTTTTCTGCAATAGAAGATGTCTGAATTAACAACATAACAATATTCAATGATTATTGCAATAAAAAATTGAATTTATAAGATATTTTGTATATGCATAGATACATCTGTATGCTGTTTCGTTTGTACATATCAAGACTTTCAACTTCAGAATCTTAGCAATCCAAAAGGATTTACCCATAAAAAAAAACGAAAAAAAAAAAAAAAGGCCTCTTGCACAAGTTGGATGACTTTCCACAAACGTAGTATGAATCTTGCTTCCATTTTGTTTGGAATAATTTGCATGGGGCACGTACACAAAAAATGAAGATTAGGAACTTCAAGACACAAACCACAAGTAGTATGTTGACCAGAGAGTAAGAGCCAGTGCTGCCACTGCATAATTCCACAGCATAATAACCGAACAGTCCCTTTCCCCAACTTCAAATAATTGCGTTATGGTACCTACAAACAATTAACATTAATGGAAGATTAGGCCAAGTCTGGTAGAGCAGTTCAATATCTTGAGAGTTTCATTTCCTTACAAAAATTCACCTAATCTCTGTCGCATAAGAAGTATACAAGTTTAGAGTAGTAATATAAAATTTAGAGATTCTCACTGAACAATACCCATGCTCATTGCAGTTGGTAGTGCATATTGCAGCAGAAGAACAAACTGATATAATGAATCCGATCCCACCAGTCCAAAATGAACTGCAGCTTTAACAACAAGAATGCCCAAGAGAGGCATTGCGATATAACGGACCACTTGGACCCCTATTATGATCCCCAACCCGACTTCAGATCTTTGAAGACCTGTCACAGAATTATAAAGTAAACCATGGTTAGAAAAAGAAAAATGATATTAGCACTCCTTAAAAATCCTCTAGCGTTCCATCCTCCTCCCTTCATACTATAAAGGGAGGATGGAGTGACAAAGGTTTTCTAAGAAGTGCCTATAACATCTCCCTAGAAAAAGTGTAACCTTGAATCCAAAAGGAAAGACTGAAAATAGCGGGACAGATGTTTAAAGGATTTTAAGATTACCCTTGAGGAGATTTGCTCCGACTATCAATGTCATGGCCGGTATTGATGCGTCTCTGTTGCAGTAAATCACATAGCACTAAGAAAATAATCGAGAAAAAAACATCCATATACACATAGCCTTGTAGTCTTGGTTTAGGAGGAAAGTTGTGTAAAATAAATAACAGCATGTGATTCAATCGCATTAATGAAGTTCGTTTGTTAATGCTACTATGGTCATCAGAATTCAAATTCCTGTGAAAATAGTTTGAAATGTTTGGTTAGTGATTGAAAAAAGAAAAAAGAAAAACTGAATTTACGATTTACACGCTGGCCATGACACACACTTTTTTTTTTTTTTTTGGGGGGTGCGAAAGCAACCAAGACAGCTTTTCAGTTAAGCTATCTCGAATTTGAGATATATAAATGGGATTGGTCATGCTTGGTTACAATCAATGGTGTTAAACCCGGACTGGAGAGGAGAGTACACAAGAAGAGGTTTACCGGTTCAATTTTGGTTCAAAAGTTTAATCAGTTTTATTTATATTAGCATTAAAAATTTTGAATAATGTTGAAATATTCTCTAAAAAAATAAAAAAAATTAGTGAACTCTAGTTGAACTTCCCGATTTTTACTAGTCTAACTTGTTCTTGATCGGATTGGACCGATTCAATTGAATTTTTCAATTAACTATTGAACTGAATCGGAGACACGACTGGTTTGCAGTTCAATTGGTCAAACCGACCGGTTCGATCCAATTTTCAAAACATTGGTTTGCAACATGATAATCCACTTGCACGGTAAGAATTAATAAAGATTACGCAATCATTTCTAGCAAAATAGGAGCCCATTTCAAGATCTTACCCTAACATGGATGTAGAGGTATCTATGACCCGAAGAGGAGCAGAGTCACCAATAAGTAGCTTTCGCAAGGGAGAGGTGGCGCCAATCGCAAGCCCAACTATCTATTCAACATTACTTTCACACTTCAATTGAAATCATAGATAACTCGGCCAATGACTTCCAACTACAACACGACATTTGGCTATAGAAATCCCACAAGGAAAAAATGTACTACTAGGCCTGGAAAATTTAGAGAACATGTTTCATAGCTAGCTCATTTGTTGTTGGAACGTGCTTCATGATTCCCTTGACCCTTTTAGATTCAATTGAATTTCTGGGATGTTCCATTTTTTAAAAAGGATTAGATGAAATTCCTGATTCGTACAAATTATAGATGGTATGATCATACCGTGGCAATGGTGGACGGTGCAAACATCATTTTTAGGTTCATCCTTTCTGCCAAAATTTTCAGCTGCTGCTTAATTTTCTTTCGCATCGGTACCTAGAAGAAACAATTTGAGTAAATAAGAGGGACGAGTGAGAGGAAGAAATAGATTCTAAATTGGCACCTCTATGATTTCTAAAAGCTTAGAAAATAAATTAACAATGCAGTAGAGGTCATATTACACCTAAAATACCGAATTTTAACGCGATTTTTTCCCTTAATTTTCACATCTATACTTGAGTGGTTGTTATCCTGGCTAAATTAATCTGAATTGTTGATCCACATTGTAATGTCAAAGTACATATACTTTTTTTGTAATTCTCCGGAAAAGGAAGCTTTTAAACTTGCTGTCATAATTGAATTTTTTTGGTTATTAGGAAAAATAAAGTGAAGTCGCTCTTTCCCCCTTAGAGCTTTCCCCAAAAGAAAAACCTACCATATTTTCTGAAATCTACAAAATGGGAGCATTTTTTTTTTATTTTATTTTTGCTCTCTCTATGATTCAGAAATAAACGGAGTAGATAAGAAAATATAGAACTACCCAAACACTTCAGTGAGGTGACAACTTACTCTAGTGCAAGAGGAGACAGAAAAATTGGTACTATGCATGGAAGATGAGAAAAGGAGATCAACCTTCTCATAATTTTCAATACTCTCAATGGGCTGTGGTGTATCATGAGAATGATCAGTCTCAATATCCTTTGATAACAATGATTCTTCCAAGCTGCTTTCTGTCACTATCTCTCCACCGTTGGCAGAATTTGTTCTGTTAATTGTGGAACCTGTACTTCGAATCCCATATGCCCGTACGATGTTATAAACATACGTCCAGATGAATACAGCCCCTATCTATTCAGCCAAAGAGAAATAAATAAATGGTATGGACAAGATAGACATAAGAAACATCTACTTTTGGACCGTGTTTTCCAGAAGAGTTTAATTTGAATACAGTCGTACTATAGTGTTCATGAGATGGGGTTGATATATGTGGCATAAAAAGGAGGTTAAGAAAATTAAAAAAAAAAAAAAAGATTGCTGGGATATATATATATATATATATATCTAGGAACTAATGGTGTTTGCAAAGTCGTCATTGTACTGAAAAGCGGGACAGAATTACCGCCATAGAGAGGGATGCATAAGCTTCTCCATTAGTAGAACATGTTGATGAATCTCCAAATGGGCTGTTACTTTCCTCACAAACAGCTGGAATGATAATGAGAAGCAAGTTCCCCAAGTTCCCTGCATTTGATGAGTTCAGAAGTGGCAAAAGCATTTATTTACACATAAGTTTTGTCACAAGAATCATAGCAAGCATCAAGTTAAAAGAGATGACTAGTCTGTTTTACTGAACTTTGTAATTAGTTTTGTTGCTTATTTGTATTGTCTAATTTATTAAATGTGAACTTTTTGAGTGATCAAATGTGTGTATTAATTATTCCTAACTTTTAATTATTTTTATTCTCTTACTAATACGACTTATATACGTGCATGAGGGTATTTATGAAATAAAAGTTTCATCTTTCTCTTTAAAGTACTTTTTTAATGTTACTTTTTCTAATTGGACTAACTTTGTTATCAAAACCTTAACTTTGGGGGAGGTATGTGTAATTTTACAAATTTTAGGGGAGGCTATTGAAATTATCAAAAAGCTCAAGGGAGGTTTCTAAAATTATCCCCAATATCAATCTAGCCCCTAATTCCTGACCTTGGCTGAGCTACTCTCCGGCTTGATTTCCAAAATAATGAAAAATTATAGTAGTAGAACTTCAGAATTATGATGAGTTTTATAACCTGCTGCACAGCAACCAATAACTAGGCCATGTAGATGTTGAGGAGTTCTTAAGACTTTAACAAGCACCCAACCCAACGCCGAACCAATAATAAAGGTGAGAAGAATGTTCACCGGCATGAACCATCTGCACATAAAAAAACATAAATGCCATTTGCAAACAGTTAGAAACCAACCAAAATCTGAATGTTACAACCCAAGTCTCTTTCAAGGAAAGAAAATTCAAAGACTTGATGAGATCGACATACAACTTAATTAGGCTGCTCATTGTTATTGTTTCTGCCAGGCTGCTTGAAACTAGAGCAGGAGTGAAGACGAAAAACACGAGCTGTTTTGGTCCAATCATTCAACAAAATATATTAATCTGTTCGGCCTCTTTTTAAGATCACCAACAGCAACTGACTGACTCTGTATATAAATTTCATAAATGCTACTACTAATATATAGCCCACTTACATTGTTCAGATGATGCCTTGCAGTGTCACCCAGGATGTCCACCTTCTCTAAGGCAAGGAATAAACCAACAGCAGTGACAATAAGTGTTTTCAGGACAGGAATCAGTGCCACAATGAACAAGGCAAGGAATCCCATCTTGGAATTTCTCCCGTGAAGCCAATAATATAAGCCAGTGAGATTTTAGATCTGCTGTATGATTCATTGCACAAATGGGAAGCTGTTCAGACTCCATTGTGGAAGTGATGCCAAATCGATCAGTGTAGCAGTTTATCCGTACAAATAGTAGGAGGAAAGACTCTAGTGCATGTTATTATTGAGTACCACGGGACATGCACATTTCTATAGTATATATCTCACCTGGAAACTTCCCCTATTATCTTTTTCCTGTGGATGTGTCCCTGCAAACCTGCTTCATCGAACTTTCTCTATCAGATGACACACTTACTAATTATAAGGAGAAAAAGGGGGGGAAAGACAAATGAACCCGTTTTGAAGATAAAACTTACTTTTAAGTGGTATGCAATCGATTCTGATTAATTTTCGATAATGCCCTCAAAAATGGATGAGAGCTTCTTCTCGTGGATGAACTATACTCTGTGAGCAACCTAAAAAATGGATGAGTTCTGAAGATTTGATGAGCTAGTACGGAAGAAATGAACTAAGAAATAGGAAAGTAACGCAAATGGAAACAAGCTAGATCATTTGATGAGAGCGCAAGTGAAGTTGCTATGATTATAAAGTTTTTGAGCATGATGTATAAAAGGAAAATTTCAAGAAAACAGCTCAAAAATGACATAATACTACTGGAAAGTGTAGTATGGAACTGACCGTAATGCATCCTAGCTGCTTGATTCCTTTGCCTGGAGAGAAAACCCATGAAGCCAACTAAAATTTCTAATAATTGCGCCAACATTTGGTGTGAATTTATGTGCAATTTCATGAGTGCATGCTCCAAAATGAAATGGTAGGCCCTTAAAGCACGGCATTTACTGCACAGTCAATCAACCGACAAAGCTTTATGCTTATCAAGATGCTCTACAGTAGTCACGTAAGACTGCATATTTACCGGCCTGAAAATGTAGCTTTCATGGGGTGCAATTGAAGCCCAGATACGCTAGTCAATTGGCAAGAGTTTTTCGCTCCAACCACGTTTTGCACTTGCCTTAATTCATCACCACAAATTTTTTTTTTTTTTGGCTTGCATTACCATTTACTATCCACAGGGAATCATGAGAACGACTCAGGCGGCAAACATATTAATTTTGCGGAAAACATCAGCTTCGAAGTTTTGGCCCCTCGATCCCCACACATTTCGACAGCTTTTAGTCAAGTTGATTTGAAGTCTTGTCTACCCGTATTCGGGCGGTGTTTCAGGGCAGCGCTCTCCCTACGTTGGTTCTAAAATACTTAATTGAGGTCGAATAGAAGGTGAAAGAAAGAAAGAAAGATCAGAGTCGCCATCAACACTTAGAGGCCAAATTAATTATTTTCTAAAATTTCAACCTTTTAGGGTCAAAATTTTGCTGCTAAATATGTATATAAACTTCCACATGATTCGGATCTATTACATGCACATTCACTCGTACAGAATGTGGCATGCATAATTATTAACAATTATTGAGCCTTTCACGATCAAAGAAACTTGAAATTGGAGAATGACATTACAACCACCGTAGAGCATCTTGTCCAAGTAATTTTAGTCTATTTTCTCTCCATGTTGTTAAGTCATATAATTAAGCACGTTGTCATCTTAGATTTTATCATCGTCCCGGGTACTTGTGCGAATCCTCCGAATGGATTGATGGCGAAAAATACTTTATTCAAATATTAGTTAGTCGTGTATTAACAGATGATATCCATACATATATATATATATATATATATAAACACTAGAAATCAAGACATAGAGTAAAACTTGTAAATCGATTCGTAACATTTTGGATCTCTCGACTATGTTATGGCCGGAGTCCTACTCATGACAGCCTGGTTGAACAGGGCAAGAGCAATCCCAATAAAGGCACTGTCGTCTACAGTTCAATCTATAAGTTCACACTATTCAGTTCAGTTTTTTTTTTTTTTTTAATTTAGTTTCGTAAAGAAGTTTATGAAAGAAGGAAGTGACCCAAAAAAAAAAAAAAAAAACTTGGCCGCAAGTTCTTCGCTAATTCTTTTACCCGTTCTATCCTAAAAGAAGCTCAGTTAATTAGATTGGATTGAAGATAAAACGTGTATTCAATTCAACCATTCGTATGGTCTCTCCTAAGGCTGACCTCGTTTCAGAACAAACTGAACTTCGATACCACATTCATCAAAGAGATACGGCCATGGCTCCAAATTTTTGCTAATTCAATGAATCTTTCTCGGGTGAAACGAAGGACATCTCAATCAAGGGATAGGACGATGAAATTCCGTAGGACCTGGTGTGTCTAACAAGTCACACTATACGCCAATCCAAGGTACATCTTCCCCTCCAAGGCTTCAGAAAGATATTTTTGGAACACCAATAGGCATTAAATGAAAGGAAAGGGAAAAAAAAAACTATTTCTGAATTCTGATTTCTTACTACCAGTCGTCAGGAGGATTGATTTTGCTACTACCTACCATACATATTACTGCATTTACTGGTAGAAGAATGCCAATGCATGTGAGATCTACTCCATCTAAAACTGATAACATGATCCTAAAGTTGACCTTCTAGTGAGAGAGGTAATTTTAACATGGAAATGGTCAATACTTCTTATATATATATATATATATATATATTTGGTAGCAAGATATTGGTTATCACTTCCCTTTTTTTTTTTTTTCTTTTTTGGTTTCTAATTAGTGTTTAGAACAATCTACCAGTTCTAGTTGTCAGGTTATTTAGTTTCTGACATGTGACAAAAGAGTTGACCCGTCGCTCACTGCTGGTAGGAGGATGGGCAGAGACACGGTTGTCAGAAGTAATTTAAAGGTTCGTGGCCAAGGTTTAACCTAAAAAAAATGTAAAATTTAAATTACATATCGTACGTCGTTTTTATACTTCATATGAAACTTATAAAATTTTGTTTTATAATTACACGTTGTTAAAAATAAATTATATCGTGTGCATATAAAATTATATTTTGTGCGTTCGGGTGACCGTTTGGTCACTGCTAGTACGTTAGGCTGCAATCATAGTGTGACAGTGATCAATCACTAAAGCAGACACGTAGTATGATATCACCCCCAAATCTGTGTGCCGCCTATTATTCTGCACGTTGTTTGGTTTCATTTTTTTTGTGACATAAAACTATTCTTATTTCATGAGGCCAGCACTTAACCAACATTTTCTCCTCGTCACCAACGAAGTTCGCATTCCCCAAACATGGGGTAAAAAAATTAAAAAAAAAATCCAGCACTCCAGCGTTGTTTATTGGTTAATGGAATGACACTACTTTTAAGAGATGAAATTATCCCTCTATGACTGTCCCTATTTTGTTTCTTCAGTTTATTCGATAAGCTAAAACCTTTTTCTAACCCCAAAAAATAAATAAAAAAACAAAAATTTGATTGATAGATATTGGACCTGTAAAAAGAATTTTTTTTTTTTAAAAAAAAAAGATATTAGAAATGTAGTCAAAATCGTCTTGCTTTGATGTTACAACCTATCTATATAAACGTATTTCATGTGTCGCAACAAATGTGCAGTGGTGGAACTAAGTATTAATTAAATGGGTCCATTTCGTGTAGGTGATTAATTTCTAATTTGACAAGATGAGGGCAAAGCGTTGAAGTTCAGCAAATGCATGGATCCCAATTAAATGATGATGAAGGCAAAGTGAGATTGAGTTATACAGTAGATTTTGATGTACGACTTATAATCCTTATTGCCTTTGTAGATTTTATTTTCTCCCTCTAACACCTGTCCCGATTAGGTACTCCTCTACCATATAGTATATGTTAGAATGCGCAACGGATCTTTTGTTTCACACTCTGTGTCATTCTCTGTCCCATTTTTTATTGTATTGCTATTTCTCCTTCATAAACATCATGTTTTAGTTCTTTTTTGTTTGCTTATGATTCAATAACTATTGATTCAGTAATACACAAAATTTAACAAACTCAAAAATGGGTGTGGCACAACTGGCTCTACTTTGCTTAATGTGAATTTTTTTTTTTCAATTGACTTTTGGCTCAGGTACCAACAACAAATAATTTCATACCTAGTTTTTTTATAAAAAATATATATATATATATCATGAAATCCTTCATCTTTATTGACAGAAATATGATCAGAAAAGCAAGATTCGACCATCTTAAGGCCGAAACCACAGGATTAATCTTACCTACCATTCAACTATATGTATCATGGAAAACGTTGTTCATGCGTGCTGGTGGGTAGTCGAAGATGAAAATGCATTCAGCTGCTCGCCCAATTCCACACCCACCAAAGTGATTTTGTTTCTCTCTGCTGCACTTTTCTTTCTCGTTTTAAAGTTTCCCAGTGAATTTTCACGTTAGGTTGTTGGCTCATCAGTATGAACGGGGAGACAACCCTCGCTGTTCTCTTCACATTCGTTGATTGTTTTCTAGATTGGACAACCATAAAAATATCAATTATTTTGTGAATCTTGCATTGTTCTGCTGGTCGAAAGGAAAGGGAAAAAGACCAAAAGGGAAATGATTTTGGATTGAAGTATTCCGTGGAAAAATTTTTTATTTTTTTCGTGATCACATTTTTCAAATACTATTTTACCTTACATATATCAATTCATTGCAGTATTTTTTTTTTCTAATAAAAAATTCAGAAAACGGCAATCCAAACGTGATCCTAAAAATTTTATGACGATTTGAGTATATATCAGTTAAGTTCTCAGAAAATCATTTTCATTCTTTGCTGTTCCAAATAAAATCAGACCCAAAAAAAAAAGAGCAGAATTGATCATGACCTAAAGCAATGAGCAGATTGCATGTCAAAGAAAAAAAATTCTCTTTTCCCATTTGCTTTTCCTTCCAGAGTTCATGATCCATGCTTTATTGATCACGAGGGCAATAATGAATAACATGGAGGACCCGAGGTCATCATATGAAACCTTGCCAGTAGTACCTTTCGCCATACAAAAAACTTAAGAAGTGGAGTATGGAGCATAGCGGATGCACCAAGGATTCAACTCCATTATTGGTGGTCGACCCATGTCTTTCTCTATAGCTTTGCATGCCTTAAAATGAGGGGCAGAGGCCATTTCTAGGTTCTAATTCATCACAGCCACAGCCTGTTTATCCTTGTTGATGGAGATTGAAGACGAATGAGTCAGTGGGCAAGTAAATTAAGTTGCAATTTATCACAATGTGACATCTACCAACCCTTGAATTCTATTGTTGTTGTTGTTGTTGTTGTTTATAACAAGAAAAGAACTGCATGTGGTGTGATAATGTCCTTCAAAAGAAAAAAAAAATTAACAAAGCATGTACTGTTTTTCAAAACTTCAATTGGAGATGAAATTAGTCTAATTGTATGATTCCAGGATTGTTTTAAGTCTAAGGCCATCTGATTGTATCTATACGACGAGCCTTTTGCATTTTGGATGAAACTTAAAAGGATTGAGACCGGCTAAACCTGATTATCTTTACCACTTTTTTTACCATCTTAACAGAGTTCTACGTTGTCATTGTATTCGTCATTAATTTGAACAAATCTTTGAACCAATACTCCACAAGATCACCCTATCTAATCCAGGCTTAACATCAAGCATCATTTCCCACCTAATCCCTTTCGAAGACACATTACTAACCAAATAAGCCTAGTGCAGGCTGTACACCATCTTTTTTTTTTCTTATTTTCCCTTTTTTTTTCTTGGTTCAATGGGACAATCCAAACCCTAAGGGAAAGCCTTGAGAGTCAGAACCAAAAATCTCATTACCATCTATCTAATATTTCTAACAGTTAAGTTGGTTCCTTTTTCTTTATCCTT